GTTAAAAGAAAGTGGAATGCTTTTAGTACTAGTACTGTTTTAAATAAGTTTAATGATTCCAAAACTTATTTTGACAACATTTGCAATCCTACAAAAGAAAATAAACAACCAATATTATCCAGTCTCATGTTTCGAGAAATTACCGAAAATTTCGATGGATCTAATAGTAGAAAATTAGCAGTACAAGACCAAAGTGTTACCATAATAAGAGTTGTTGATAAATTTATTGGCTTTTATAAACAAGAAGACTTTGGTGTCGTTAAAATATTTACTGAACATCCTACTGTATTGAATACAGCTGTTCTCATAAACGTACTTCAAGGATTTAATGAGTTAGTAAATACAGGTGTTAAAAAGGTGATTAATAATTGTACACATGTTTTTTTATGCATATTCATTTACTGTATATCTATTTATCTAAATTTGTTTATTCACACATATTTATTATTTATTAAAGGTCGTTCTTGATTTATCTGACAATACTGGTGGACTATACTTTGTCGTCCTATTTATCAATTTACTCTTATTTCCTAACACTTATCCTACCTTTGTCTTTGATCTGAGAATTACTGAACAAATGAGACTTGCAGTTACTGAACAATTTCGACTTGCAACATCAAATAATATTTTCGACATAAAAAGATTTGTTAATGCAAATACTCATGCCAATTTTACAAGTGCTGATGACTTCTTTGGCAATAATGTTCATACACGTGGTGGTGTTGTGGGGAATTATTCGAATAAATATAAGTTACCTGCTTTCCATTGTTAACAACAGAATAAAATGACATATTTGTATGAAAAATAAATGATGAGAAACAATTTGAAGAATATATAGTGTGTGGATCTTTTAAATCATGAATGAGATATTCGATATCAATCTAAGATAAAATAAGAGAACGTAAAAATAAAGTAATACATAATAGCTGTGAAATAAATAAAATCAAAATAAAATATTTACTGTAAAATCATATAGAGATGTATAAGATTTGTTTCTAAAATGATTTAATTCAGCTAATATATCCATTGGTCTAAAGTCAAACCCGTTTGGTGGATGTTCTTTTGCTTTATTCAAAAATGAATAGAATCCACCGAGCAGACCAGTTAAAGTATCAATCGTCTGCAATTTAAGCATATATTTTATATCGATC